ACCCATGGGGCTGCAATGTGCCACCATGCTCTCTGGTGACAGTGACAGGCCCCTTAACTCTGCTCCAGATTACAGCCAGGCTCAGGAGGTCTCACAGCCTCCCAGCAAGCTGAGGCAGCAGGTTCTTCCTCAGATGTGTCTGCTCTGGGTCCAGTTGAGGATCTCAGCCCTTGAGAGCTGTGCAGAGCTTCCTGCTGTGGGGTGAGCTCTCAAATCTCTCATCAGGGAGAAATTCCTGCTGCATTTCATCTTTCTTGTCTTTCCTTTGCTGCAGGTGAGCTGGCCAGCACCCATGGCCCGGGGCCAGGGGTTGCCCTCCGTGTCAGGAGGAGCCCAGATCCCTGCCTGCCCAACCCGTGCCAGCACCAGGGGCAGTGCCAGGTGCCTGTGGACAGACCAGTCTGCAGCTGCAAGCCAGGCTTCACTGGAGAATTCTGCCAAGGTAGGGCTGGGAATGCTGGGGAGCCCTCCCCAGTCTGTCCATGGGCACCAGAGGGAGATGGGCACAGTTCACTGTTGCTACCATGAGCACATCCCAGCTCCTGATTCAGGTGCATTCTGCACCACTACAGCCATATCCTGGCTATGTGCTGGTAGAAAAGCCACCCACAGGCCATTTTCCTCTTCCCCAAAAGCCTGAATTCCTTGGCTGTGCCATGGTGCAGCAGGGCATGCTGCAGGGCACAGCTCCCTCACAGTTTCAGAACAAGCACTGGCACAGATACAGTGAAGCCCTTCAGAACCCACCCTGGCACAGATACAGTGAAGCCCTTTCCAAACACTGGCCAAAACTCTTTCTTCCTCTGAAGGAGAAGGTCCCTGTCCCTCTGGTGCCCTAGACACACTGTGGGGTTGTGTGGAGAGCCCTCCAAAGGGACCAGCCTGTCTCCTGCCCAGTGTCTCTGAAGAGCCCTTCAGCTGCACCAAGGCTGCTGAGCTCAGTGGGACTGTGCCACCCTCCAGCTGGCCTGGGGCTCCTTCAGGCCTCTCCCTCATTGCTATTGCAGATGGCTTTTTCCCCCAGATGTGGTGCTGAAGCTGGCCTGTGAGGAAGAGCACATGAAGATGATGGTGAGGAAGGAGGTGTTTGAGCTCTTGAAAATCCCACTGGAGCTCGTCCACTTGAAGAACCAGGCATGCAAGGTCTCAGAGAAGGAGGAAGAGGGTGAGCTGTTTTTTGCAGCCGTTCTCACAGGTGAAAACCACACTGCCTGTGGATCAGTAATCCAGGTGAGGATCCATAGCTCCAAAGCCAGGAGAGAAGCAGACATGGTGAGGTGGGACAGCAAAGGGCAACCCCAAAGGCTTTTGCTTTTATATCTGGGTGCTGAAAAGTTCTCATCCCCCTTGAAAGTCTTCCCTGAGGATATCAGAAAGCTCTTCTGCCTCCACCAAACCCCTGCTGACAGCACATTTTGTCTTACTTAGGAGAGCTTGGAAGTCTCATTGTGCACTGGTAACAGCCCTCAGCTTCCTGGGGACATCCTGTGAGCTCTGCAGCCCTGTCCCCTTGGTCCCTGCCTTGCTTCATGGAGCAGGAAGGGAGCAGACAAGGTGCTGGAGCTCTGCATTGCACAGCCAAGCCCTGTGCCCACCTGTGCCCACTGTCCTGACTGCTGTGCCAGCAGCCCCCAGACACAGGCTGAAAGCCCAGCAGATATCCCGGCCTGGAGCAGCTGCAGCTGAGTTTTGCCTTCTGAGCTTGCAGCTCTGTGTGTGGCTTTAGTCATGACCTTGATTTCTGTGTCATTCCAGCGAAACAGCTCCCATGTCTCGTACTCCAACGCCATCGAGTCGCAGCAGGAGGCCCCCAGGGCCACCATCTCCCGCAGTTTTCAGCTGGAGGTGCACTTCTCCTGCATCTACGCCTACCAGCAGGTTGTGAGACTGCCCTTCACTCTCACTGCTGTTGACAAGTGAGTGCCCCCCTTCACCTGGCTGCTGACACGGTGTCTTTGAGCTTGGAGAGAAGTAGATTCAGTGAGACAATTTGCAAAGGCGCTGGGGAGCCCCAGAGAGCTCTGAGAGCAATGGTGGCTTCACCTGTGCAATGTCCTTCCCACCTCCTTGTGTTTGTGAGCTCTGATCCTGTGCTCTCCTCTCAGGCTGGTACAGCTTGTGGTCAGAGAAGGACACTTCAATGTCAGCATGAGACTCTACAAGTCCCCCTCCTACCTCGAGCCTTATCACCTGCCAAGTGTGGCTGTGCCCCTCACGGACACTCTCTATGTGCTGCTGAAGATGGAGGGGCAGCACCAGCTCAAGTACTTCCTGCTCAGTGTTCTGGACTGCTGGGCCACGCCGAGCCCAGATCCACACCAGGACATGCAGCACAAGCTCATTGAGCAGGGGTGAGGGCAGTGAACCCAGCACATCCAGTCTCCTTGCACCACAGTGTGTCAGGGACTGGACAGAAATAGGGCTGTGGGCTGCCCCCATTCCCTGGGGGATGTGTTATCCCACTGGGATAACCCTGCTCCACCTCATTTACCACCCACTGATCCAGCCCCCGTGTCCCAGGTGTCCCCATGACGAGACAGTGACCTACCTGAATGCCATTGGGGAGAGCACCAGTGCCAAGTTCAGCTTCCAGATGTTCCAGTTTGTTGGTTACCCCGAGATGTTCCTGCACTGCCGTGTGCAGCTCTGTGTTCCTGACAGCCCAGAGCCCTGTGCCAAGGTGAGATCCCCTCCTGGGCTGCACCTGCCCTGGGGGGCTGTGGGACCTGGGTGTGGGAGCTGGAGATGAGGGTTTGAATCCTTTCTTCCTGAGATAGGGTGGTGGGGTAACTCTAAGAAGGGGTTTAGTCTTCAATCTTTGGCTTACAAGACCAATGTTTTTATAAACTATTAGAGTCAATTAGAGCTTGAGTAGTTTATTTTCTAGGGGGGCCACAAGGGGGAATAAAACTAGGATGATTGTGAAGTAAATGAATGAGGCTAGTTGGCCAATGATGATGAATGCCTTCACTGCCTCTGCTTGGACAAGGGGCTCTGCTCTGCTTTTGGGTGCCTCACCCAAACACCTCCAGAATCAGAAGCCCTGAACACCAAAGGTGCAGGGGGCTGAACCCACCAGAGATCTCCTTTCCCTCTTCCCTGGGAAAGGAAGGGAGATCTACAGGATGGCCCAGGTGCAGGGTGCCCTCCCATCACCCTTCCCTCCCTCCCTTCACCCTCCCCTGCCCTCCCATCACCCTTCCCCGCTCTCCCATCACCCTCCCTTTGCCTTTGCTGGCAGCAATGCCCCAGGCACGGGAGGAGCAGGCGGGCACTGGCAGATGACCACAACAGGATTGTCTCCTACGGGCCCATCCTCCTGCTGGCTGCTCCTTCCTCAGGAGCTGAGATCCACCATTCCAGCAGTGACCAGCAGGACCCAGCGGGTAGGTATGTCCTCCTGGCCACCGAGGGCAGTCCAGGACATCCAAGCAGCAGTCCAGGAGCAGGGCTGGGGGCAAGCCCACCTACAGCATGGCTGAGAGCAGGCATGCATGCTGAGCTGTAGGCAGCAGGGCTCAGTGGAGGCCATTTGAGGTGTTGAGTCCTGTTAGTGCCTTCAGGATCCCAACTCCTGTGGCTCCTGCCTGTCACAGGAGATGGCCTCCCTGAATGTATCCCCAGTCAGGAGATGCCTCAGGGGGCTCAGGGGACCCAGACACACACCCAGTCTCTCTCCTCTTTGGCAGGACTCAGCCCGTGGCTCTCCAGGGCCCTCATCCTGCTGGGTGTGCTCGCTGTGCTCGCAGTGGCTGCTGTGGCCGTCAGCGTGAGGCGCAGGATGGGTTAGCAAACAGCTGTTTCCCAATAAACATCACAGCAGCAGAGAGGCTCTTGCTGTGTCTCTGTGGGTGTTTTGGGGAAGGGGGTAATGGCTGGGTGCTTGAAGGATGAGGTGCATCACAGTGTTTCTGTTCCCTGTAGCATCTCTTGGACCTTGTCCCCTGTGAGCCCACAGTCCCTAAACCCAGAGTGTGTACCCAGGGATGGGAGAGCCCTTCCTCCTGCTTCCGTCTTCCCCACAGTGTCACCCTGGCATGTGGGGAGATGGAAATACCCCACTCTAGATACCAAAGCTGGTCCTTGCATAGTTCTGTGCCACACAAAGGCAGCATTAGCAGAGAAAGGGCTGCTTTGTGCATGCACACGCGTGTGTGTGGGTGTGTGTGTGAGTGTGTGTACCCATCCATGGTGATTTCTCCCTTCATTCTTAACATTTCTCTTTTCATTCATGGCAAATGGCCAGCAAGACTTTTCCCATTGATACATCCCTAATATAAAGCAAATAACAAACAATAATGAAGGTATTAAAGACTAAATTCACAGTGCTCAGCCAGCTGGCAGAGATTTAATACCAAAACACAGATCAGAAGACAGAAGTTGCCCTGCGAGGCAGCTGTATGTGCATTTTGGCTAGAGCACCGTGTCCATGAGGGAATTGCTGCTGGCCCCAGAGGCTGTTTGGCAGGAAGGACACACAGCAGATCTCTGCCACAGAGCAAGGAGATGCTTTGCAAAGAAGCTCCTGGATTTCCTCTTCTTTTTGAATTCCCAGAGGCAAACACCCCACATGTGGGCTGCAGCACATCAATCCTCTCCCTCCAGTGGCAGGAAACTCCCTGCTGGGCTGGTTCAGCACCAAGAGCCACCTCTAGCAAAGAGGGTGATGGCTCCATCCTGGCTGAAGGCAGGTGCTTTGGGGTCTTCCTCCTTGTCCCTTGGCAAATAACATCATGGCCACCTTGAGACCGTGGAGCTGCAGCCTGGAGGGGCTTTGCAGAAGCACCATCTGTGGAGCTCCTCGCCCAGGGCAGCCCAGCAGGAATGGAAGGGACAAAGCAAAGAGCCCTGCTGAGGTGGACCATGCCCACTGAAGGTAAACTGAGGCATTGATAGCTGATCTCTCCCTCTGGAGGAAGCTGCATCTGCCAGGAGGGCTCTCAGTGAGTGCAGGTGCAGGCAGGGAGAGAGGTCCAGCCAGGAGCTGCTGCAGCCAGGGGCTAGTCCTGGGAGCCTGTGGTGGTTTTGTCATGTCTGATGATGTAGGAGAGGGAACCAGTGCTCTCCTTTGTCTTTGGGTAGTAGAGGACGACCAACCAGATGAAAATGAAGATTCCTGCAGGGAAAGGAAGACAAACACTCAGCAGCAGCAGGAGACAATCTTGCCAGTATGCTAATGACACTTTCCTTCCACTTCCAGAGGATTCCCTCAGCTCACCCCCTCCTTCACATGAACCATTTGGCTGGGAGTGGATAATGTCCCTAGTCCCCTGCTAAGGAATGTCCTTGGAGGAAAACCACCACGGGTGGAGAGGGTGTAATTGGGAGCCAAGAGCAGCTCCATGGTGGTGGTTGGGACCTGCCCTGACAAAAGGAGGGGTATGAGAGTGCTGGGAAGACACTGGTGCCTTGGGATCCCTGTTCACCCCGCAGCCAGGCTGGCTCCTGCCTCCTCCACCTTCCCCACCCAACCCCTGGAACCCAGCTCAGAGTGGGGGCTGACCTTGCAGGGAGTTGAGGATGGTGAAGAGGTGGAGCACAGCTGCAGAGGAGGTGCCATAGGAGAGGAATGCCAGGGCCCAAGTTGCTCCCAGCAGGCAGAAGAGCCCAGCTGCCACCAGAGCCACCTTCCAGGGCTTGCTGTGTCCCTGCACTGCCCCAGTGCCCTGCAAGCTGCAGCTCTTGTGGGTCACCACCCCGAACACAGCCATGTTGAAGAGGAAGATGAGGCCAAAGTAGCCACAGTTGGTGATGTAGTGGACCAGAAGATGTTTGGGAGTGATCCAGCACCTGAAAAGAGACAACCCTGGAGCCTCCAGCAGCCCTGCAGGCCTCAGCAGCACCCATGGGAGCCTTCCCCTGGTGGGATTTTCCAAGGCCAGGGTGGAGCAGGGGGACAGTGGTGGGTAGACACTGCCCTCATGTTTCTCAGCTGGCAGGGAGCCTGGACAAGCTCCAGGTGGACCTTGGCCATCCCTCCATGACCTGGAGGGCTGCAGGCATGACTCAGGAGGCTCAGCATGAGAGCTGGGGGTGGCTGGTGTGTGGCAATCACAATTAAGGAAGCAGAAGCAGAAGCATGGCCCGAAGCCAAAGCAGATGGGTGCAACCCCTGACTGCTGCCCTCCTGGCAGGACTGAGCTGCCCCTCCCTATGCCAAAGGGTCCCCTGAGCCCTGTGGGCAGTGGCACACGCACAGGTGGGCTATGACCTGGTGGTCCTTGGTATGGATGTGGTATTTTCCATAGCTGCCAAGAGCTCCTGCCACTCCCACCACGAGAGCAGGGAAGCCTGGAAGAGGAGAGACACAATCACAGAATTGTTTAGGGTGGGAAAGACCTCTAAGATCACCAAGTCCAGCCATTAACTCAGCCACATTCACCACTAAACCACGTCCCCAAGTGCCACATCCACACACCTTTGAACACTTCCAGGGTTGGTAACTCCACCACTGCCAGGACACCCTGTTCCAGTACCTGTCCACCCTTTCAGTGAAGACACTTTCCCCAATACCCAATCCAAACCTCCCACTGCCCCTCTCCCCCAGGCTGCTCACCCCAGCCCAGCAGGCACAGCTTTGCCAGGTAGTGGTGGATGTAGGTGCCCAGGACCTTGACAAAGAGGAGGTAGAGCTGGCAGCCCTCCAGCGCCGTCCAGGTGAAGCAGCAGAGCAGGCAGTAGTGGGTGAGCCCCCCCAGGGCCCTGCAGGTGCCTGGGGGGGCCCTGGCAGCGAGTCCAGTGCTGAGCAGGAAGGCCAGGTTGAGGAGGAGCAGGCTGCCCACGAGGTTGAGGTGCAGCCCCAGGTTGGTGCGGACGGTGTCCTCCAGCCTGAACCTGCACCTGTGTCCCCACAGGGACAGGAAGGGTCACAGGTGAGCGGTGCCCTGGGCTGTGGCACAGCAGGCCCAGGGGAGGCACTGGCACTGCCTCGCGCCTCTCCCAGCCTGGCAAGCCCCCGTGGAGCTGCTGGCTCATCCCACCTGATAAAGATGCAGAAGGCCATGGTGAAGATGGAGAAGGCCATGGCTACTCCACAGCCAGCAGTGGCAACAGCCATCAGAGCTCTTGCTGTGGAGCCATCCAGAGCTGGGCTCTGCCAAACATGCACATGTTGGGTTAGACAGGCCCTGCACCAGCCTAGGAAACCTGACTACAGGTACAGAGCCATGGGGCTGCTGCAGAAACCCCATACCAGCCCCCTGCAGATCTTGAGGGGAAGCAGAGCAGTGGTGGCTCAGAGGAGATGCTCTGTGGGTGAAGTGGCCACCGTGAGCACCCTCCTGGGAGTCTCCACCAGGATCTGGGACCTCAAGCCTTGTTCTGCCAGAGCCTGCACCAAGCTGGGGCCTTTTCCAGCCTGCCCTGCTCAGCTGAGCTGCTGCTGCCCTCCTGAGCTGGGGCTGGGCTCGGTTTTGTGATCTTGCCTTGCCTGAGAACAGCTCTAATTGTCCCTGTGTCACTACTCATGACACCCAAGGGGCCACAAAAGTGTGCAGGCAGCACTGCCAGGGCACAAGCAGGAGCTGCAGGGAGCGGGATCGTCACCAGGAGCAGGGTGAAGAAGGTGAGATGGTCACAGGAGCAGACTGTCCCCTTGTCCCCGGGCTGTGTGTCACATCCACTGCTGCGCCAGCCTCCTGCCTGCCCTGCAACAGGCAGAGGGAGCGGCTGTGAGCGCTGGGACAGCGCCCGTGCCCCGCCCCGCACCTGCCCCGAGCAGTCGCACCTTTGCTGGCATCCCAGAACACGCATCGGGGGGTGACACCCTGAAAGGGAGAGAGCAGCGTCTGCCCTTGTCATGGGAGAGCAGCATCAGCCCGGGATGGGGAGAGCAGCATCAGCCCCTGAACAGGGGGAGAGCACTGGAGGGGAGGGGAGGGCAGCCCTGCAGCGCTGACTCACCTGGGGCAGCTCCCCGTGGGGGAAGGTGAGCTGCACGGGCTCCTGCAGCCCCGAGATGCTGCTCTCCCCCACCGTGATGCCCACCACGGTGTTGTCCAGCACCTGCCCTGTCTGGTTGATTTCCTGTGGAGGGGAAACGCTGCCGGGGCTGAGCTGGTTGGTGGCAGGGGCTGGGGGCAGCGGGAGGGATGCTGGCAGTGCCAGGGGTACCTTGAACATGCCAAGCTGCTGGATATTGAGGACTGTCACCACCACTCGCACTGTTTGGCTGCTCAGGGACCGGAATATCCCCCTGGGGAGGTGGATTTTACCTGCCTTCCCTTTCCCTGTGCTGTTCAGCCTGCTGGGGCCCTGCAGCAGAGAACAGTGAGAGGTTGTTGCTGCCAGGTCACATCTCCTTTCAGAACCCACCAATCTTGCTCCAGGCACGAATTCAGCCCTGCCCGGGTGGGTTTGCTCAGTAATATTGGCAGGAGCTCTGAGGGCAGAAGGGAAAAACCTCATTCCCAGCATCTGTGGGGGCAGAGATGGGAGGGGGAGCCAGCAGATTCTCCATCCACACATGGTCCCTGGGACATCCAGAGCCTGGAGAGCCTCTGAGTGGGCAGGAGGCACAAGGTCACACCTGTCCCTGCTCCTTTCCTACATCACACTCCCCCTGCCAACCTGGTGTGCTGGGATGGCTCCTTGGGGAGGGCTCTTTCCTCCCAAGCACCACTTGATTGACTCCTTGCCAAGGGATGTTGAAGTTGATGTGGGCCCATGATGCAACCCCACAGGGGGGAGGAAGAGCACAGCAGGGCACACCACACCCTGGGCAGGGGCTGAGGGGTGCTTGGAAGGTGTGGGACCTTCCAAGCAAGGGAGAGGCAGGGACACAGCTCACCTCAGTGGGGGAGAAGGCGATGAGCACATCGCGGGTGACAGCCCTGCTGACATTGAGGAGCAGAGTCCTGAGCCCAGCCAGCTGACTGTGCAACCCCGACTGCAGCAGCCTGTGGGACAAGGGGGGCTGTGGGACACAGGGACACGGGGACTGAGCCCCCAAACCCCATCCAGGGCAGCCCTGCCCTACCTGAGCCAGTACTCCTTCAGGCAGACACAGGCGCGGCTCCGGGAGTGCCACAGCTCCGGGCAGCGCTGGGACAGGTGGAACACCGGGGTGCTGCTGCCCGGGCTCTGCTGCTCCAGCACCGCTCTGCAGCACTCCCCGTGCTCATCACCCCGGGGCAGCCCTGGGCAGGGGCAGCAGTGACCGCCGGGCACCACAGCACGGGATGGGCGCTGGGAGCAAGGGGGGAATGGAGGGGACACTCACCGGAACAGCTGTCCCGTCCTTCGGCAACATCTGGATGGAGAAAGGGGGGAAACACCAAAACCTAGGGTCAGCCCTCCCTCTGTCCAGAGGGAAAGGGGAGGAGAAGGCAGGAGGGTCTGGCAGCTGCCAGGTTGTAAAGGAACAATCCTGCAGTTACGTGGGCTTCAAAAACAACAATCAGAGCTGGGGAGGGCAAAATCGCCGCGCCCAGCCTGCCAGGGAGGCTCACAAAGGAGACCCTGGACTGCTGATCCCGGGTTTTAGAGGAACAGTCCTGCAGTTACGTGGGCTTCAGAAACACCTGGACATCAATCAGAGCTGGTGAAGGCCAAACCACCATGCCCAGCCTGCCAGGGGGCTCACAAAGGACACCCTGGACTGCTGATCCCAGGTTTTAAAAAAGCCCCCAGCAATAAAGCCCCCAACTCTGCTCACCTCTGCACATGGGGATGCTCCTCTCTGGCCCATCCACGTTTCAGGATGAAATCCCCACTTGGTCTTTTGGTGAGCACCTTCCCATGGGAAACCTTCCCACAAAGCCCATGCACCCCCAGTGCCAAGGATGCCACTCACCAGGCAGCAGCAGGAGCAGCAGGACAGTGCCCAGGAGCAGGTTCATGCCACTTTGTGGGATGAGCAGGTTCATCCCACCACGCTCTGCTCCCCTTGTCCCGGCAGCTCTGCTCCTCCCCAGGCTCCCCCGGGCTTGTGGCCACTTCTGAGGCAAGAGCTGTTCCTCTTTTCCCTTTTGGGAGCCCCTCACGCCTTCCTGTGGGCTGGCAAGTGACCTCCTGTCCCAGCTCTCAGCAACGACAGCAAACACCCACAGCTCCTGCTCCTGACAGCTCAGTGCTTTCTGCTTTCCCTTTCTCCCACACTCCTGATGGCCCTAACCAGCCCAGCAAGTGCTGGAGCACCCTCACCCTCATCTGGCCACCACCACAGGCCTCCAGGATGAAGCATCCCCTTCCTGCCCCAGCTGGGTGAATGGGGATGATCCACAGGCAGCTGGAAGGAGGTGGTGTGATGGGAAATGTGGTGCTGTGTTTGCAAGAGGCACAGCCAGGACAGCCAGATCCTGCCTGGCCCCACAGGCACTGAGGGATGATTCCCATTCTTTGATGTCTCCCTCCTTGGATCCCTGTCCTCCCTTTCTGCTGGGGAGTGACAGTCCCTGGAGATTCCCAAGCCATGGTACCTCCCTCCATAACCCCAACCCCAAAGGCAGCCAGAGCTCTGCCAGGAGCACCGTTATCAGTCCCACCATCCTCAGCAGGATTCTCCAGGGTGAAGTGCTGGGTCCTGCCCCAGAAGTGGGATAACCCAGATGAGAGATGGATCCCATCGGAGAGCCCACCAACACACCAAGCAGAGACCCCAGAGAGCCACACTCAGAGAAAAACCACTTTAATGGGCACAGATGTGGTGTGCAGGCATGCTCACTAAGCTCCTACATCACCACAAATAGACATTAAACATTAAAATAAAAAAAATAGATTATTTCAGCTGCCTGAGAGTGTGGCAGGGGCAGAATCGTTCTGTCTTCCCTGGGGAAGGACCCTCATGGTGACCATCAGCAAGGGTTGAAAACTGGGCCTTTCCCACCCATCCCTCCTGGCCTCAGCACGTGGGAGGGGACATCCAAAGGCACTGGGGACCCTGTCCCTGCCCCTTCCACTTTTTACAGCCCCCACTGCCCAAGTAAGCATCCCTCCCTCCCTCCCTCCTGCCCCAAGGATGCCAAGCCTGCCAGGATGAGAAAACTGGGGAGGGGGCCAGCAGAGGGGGGGTGGCTGGCCCCACTGTGGGTCCCTGGGCTCCCTGTGGCACTACAGGGCAGGTGCAGTAGCAAAGCAGATGGTGTGGTCCTTCTTGTGGCCATGCTTGGCATGGGCAGCTCTGGCACAGCACGGGCACCACGGGGCTCAGCTGCTGCTGGGCTGCAGCTTGGCACTGTCAGAGCTGCTCTGGGAGTCAGGGCCCTTCCTCGCCTGCAGCACCATGGTCCAGTACCAGAGGAAGATGAGGAAACCTGGCAGAGGGGAGAGGAAGTGTCACAGACATCTTTTATGGAAAATCCTTTCCTTAGGATTTTTTTCCTCCTGAGAAGCTGAGAGGCCTCAGGAACAAAATGTAAACATTGATTATCTGCTGCTGTGGAATGCAACAGGTGCATCTGTGATTGGTCTCATAGAGTTGTTTCTAATTAATGGCCAATCACAGTGAGCTGGCTCGGATTCTCTGTCCAAGACAGAAGCTTTTGTAATTATTCTTTCTTTTTCTATTCTTAGCTAGCCTTCTGATGAAATCTTTTCTTCTATTCTTCTATTCTTTTAGTATAGTTTTAATATAATATATGTGATAAAATAAAAAATCAAGCCTTCTGAAACATGGAGTCAGATCCTCATCTCTTCCCTCATCCTCAGACCCCTGTGAACACGGTCACAAGGAAGCGTGGGTGACCCCTCCACAGCTGAGAGTGAGCCACACCCAGGCTGCCAGAGCCCATCCTGCACACCATCACCAACCCACCAACACCCTGTGAACATCCTGCTGCTCTCAGAGGAGCCCAGAGCCACAGACTCACCTTGGAGGGAGTTGATGATGGTGAAGATGTAGAGAGAGACAAGGCAGAACATGCCAGAGGTGAAGGAGAAGAAGATGAGTGCCCAGGGGATGCCCAGCAGGATGCTCAGCCCGAGGAGGGCCAGGACGTGCTTGAGCTTGTGACCCTTCTTGTTCTGCCGGAGGATCTCGCGCACCATGGCCCCCAGCATGACCGAGTTAAAGAGGAACACCAGAGTGAAGAAACCCAGGTTCACCGAGTTATGGACCAGGGGGCTCGTGATCCAGCAGCTGGAGGGAGGAGAAAGGGCAGGGGGTTACTCTGTGCCCATCCACAGGGTCACGAGGAGGGGCTGGGACAAGCACAGAAGTGTGGTGGATCCCCCTGGCACAAAACCCCAGAACAGCCCCAGGCCATGGTGAAGGTTTGGCCAGGTAACCCATGTGCCATGACTCACATGGTTGCATTGATGGTTCTGCCATCAATGGATTCGTAGATGGGAATGGAGACGGGGCCGTAGTTGGTCCAGCTGGCCAGGAGGATTGTCACCACACAGAAGATGGGGAGCCCTGGGTGGGAAGAGCAGAGTGAGCAGGCTGCCCTACTCCCTGCAGGGCCTTTGGACCTTCTGGAAGGACTTGCTGGCCCTTTCTCCCTGCACAGAGCACAAGCCAACATCCTCCCAAAGGGAAACCAGGGGTGGAACACACAGCAGGGGCACCTGGAATGAGCCCCAGCCTGGGAGGGAGCAGTGCTGTGCTGGCCCCAGCTGGGGCCTCCCAGGGATGTGGAGCTTTAGGCCATAAAGATCACAAGATCTTCCTGCCATGACCTCCAGCCCAGAGCATGGCAGAGAAGCATGGACACTCCCTGCATCCAGCCCTGGATGTTTCTTTCAGAAAGAAAGGATCCTGTTACTATTTAAAGATCCCAAGTGGTGGCTCTCACAGGTCTCCATTGCTGGTGATGCCCCAGGATGACCCACCCTGGCTTTAGCAGCAGCTCCTGCTCTCAGCCTTCCAGCCTCCTCCTCCACCAAGCCTCCTGACAAACAACTGCTCCCCACAGCTGGGTCTCCATCCCCATCCAGGCATCACATCCAGTGGCAAAAACCCACCCAAGTGGGTGCCCCCCATGCTCACCCCAGCCAACCAGGCAGAGCTTGAGCAGGAAATGGTCGTGGTAGGCGTTGAAGACTTCGATCACAAGCCTGTAGAGGTTGTAGCCCTCGATGCCCATCCAGGTGAGGCAGCTCAGCAGAGAGAAGTGCAGGAACAGCCCCCCAGCTGTGCAGATGGCCTCGCTGCTGCTGGCAGCCAGGTGCTCTGAGAGGAGGAAGGTGATGTCCAGGAGGAAGATGGCAGCCAGCAGGTTCATGTGGATGTGCATGCTCGTGATCTGGTCCCGCTGTTTGCTCCTGCAGAACCCAAGGGAGCAGAGCTCACCACCCTGCCTGGCCAGCAGCACTGGTGCCCTCAGCACCCCACAGCCCAGCAGAAAAGCAAGGAGACCCTTTGGTAATGCCAGGAAATGAGACACCAACCCCATTAGAGACCCCTCATCCCAAATCCAGCCCTGCAGCTGACCCTGCACTGAAGATGCTCAGAGGGCTGAAGCATTTTCCTGTGGAGACAGACTGACTGAGCTTGGGTTGTGCAGCCTGGAGAAGGCTCCACACCTTAAAGCACCTTCCAGTGCCTAAAGAGAGCTGGAAAGGGACTTTGAACAAGGGCATGGTGTGACAGCACAAGGGGGAATGGCTTCAGTCTGAGAGCAGGTTTAGTTTAGATATTCAGAAGAAATTCTGAGGGTGGTGAGGCCCTGGCACAGGTTGCCAAGAGAAGTTGTGGCTGCCCCATCCCTGGAATTGTTCAAGGCCAGGTTGGATGGGGTTCTGAGCAATCTGGTGTAGTGGAAGGTGTCCCTGCCCAGGGCAGAGGGTTGGAAATGAATGATCTTTCATTCCCTTCCAACCCAAACCAGTCTATATTTTCATGATTCTAAGATTTCAGGTCTGAGTCATCCACTTAGGATCGGTGACATGACTCAGGAGAAGACACTCATGTTCTCCTCCAGGCCCTTGAAAAGATCTTTACAGACTTCTGCTTGCTCCATCCATAAAAATCATAAATTCCAAAATCTTTGAAAAGAGCTGGTGTTTCTGAGCACCCTGCAGGAGATCTGACAGAGAGGGTGGACCCTGGACAGGAAAACTCTGCTTTCTTCAAACAAAGCTCCTTCATGATGCTTCTATCCAGGCCACCAACTGCCTGGAGAGCTTGTGCCCACCCAGGGGTCCATGGCCACAACAGGACACAGACAGGGAGTGTGGGGTGAAACCATCAGACTGTACCTGAAGTAGAGGAAGAAAATGGTGCAAATGGAAGCCAAAGCTGAGATCAGGCAGCCAACGTAGCTTATGATACTCAGGTAATTCCTGTGCACTGAGGTGATGTCTGGAGAGGAAACCTGAGGAGGAGGAATGAGAGGTGGTGAGGAAGAGCAGCACTGGGAATGAAGTGAGGGACCTGAGGGAAGGTGCTACCCACCATGAGCACAGCAAAGTAGGTGAGGTGGTTGCACCTGCACTGTGTCTGGCTGCTCCCTGTCACCGTGGTGCACCCAGAGCTGTCCCAGCTCCCAGAACTGCCTGTGCCAGAGAAAGGGAGAGAACTGGTGAGCAGCAGCAACATCTGCCACGGCCTAGAGGATCTCAAGGGTCAGGTGTCCATGGAAAGAGGGAGAGCAAGAGTGGGGGTCCCAGCTCGTCCCAGGCCAAGCACACATACTGAAATAATTCCCTCAGCACAGGAACCCGTCCCGAGGAAGGGGAAAGCTCTTAGGCTAGCTCTGGAGGCGAAAACCTGACATCACCCGGTGGGAATGGCTGATGGAGAAGGAGTGAGGAAGGGAGGTGCAGAGCAACCTTCACCCTGCTGGTGGGGCTGTGGCACCTTGGAAAAGGGCCTGACTTCACTGCCAGGGGCAGGGGCACTCACCGGAGGCGTCCTCCTGCCAGAACACGCACAGGGGGGTCACGTTCCTCTGCAACGACAAAACCACAGGCCCTGCTCAGGAGGCAGCTGTGGGTTTGCTGCCTGCCCAGCACTTCTGATAGGAGACAAGATGGTCTCAGGAGACAAACTGTGACTTGGATAAACCAGACTGCCCCTGTGGTGGGAGTGGGCTCCAGGCTCCACTCTGTTACCAACTGATGGAGCAGATGCCTCCCTCCAGATCCTCCTTTCCAAACAAAGGGTTCAGCTTTGAGCAGGCACCTGGCAGAGCCATGATGAGCCAAGGGCCTTGAGCAGGCCCCTGACAGGGCCATGATGGGCAAGGCAATATGCCCAGCTCCACATCACAGTGTGCCCCAGCCCTGCTGACAGTGCTAGATGTGACACATCTGCCATGAGGCATCTCCTGGAGACAGGAGGGCAGTGCCACCACCAGTGCCACCACCAGTGCACACAGACAAGCCATGACTGTGATCCAGCCCCAGGAGACACAGCAGGCCCTGCACAGGCAGCCCATGGGCATGGGCCTGCTGGATTGTGAGCCCACCCTGAGCTGGCAGGGGCTGAGCCCTCCCTGCCCCTCATTCCTGGTGGGATCAGGTTCTGTGAGGGTGTCCCCACCTACCGGGAGCTGGTCGTGGAAGAAGGTGAGCACCACTGGCTCAGAGAGGTTGGCCACCACCGTGTCCACCAGGGAGATGCTGACCACCTTGTCACCCAGCACGTGGCTGCTGTTCTCATCCTGTGGGAGAAAGGGAGGCAGTGGCAGGGTGGGAAGGGAGAGCAGCCAAGGGTGCCCAAGCAGAAGGTCCCGTGACTTTACCCATCAAGCTTTTAGCTCATCTTTGAGGCACTTTCTCCCAGTGAGCAGCAGCACCCTGGGCTGGTGGCACCCCTGCAGCCCACGGGACACCCAGCCTGCCATCCACGTGGGCATTACCTGGAACATGGTCTGCCTGTTGATGTCCATGACGAGCACCCTGTGCTCCGCCACCTCCTCCCTGTCCTTCACCACCATGAACAGGCTGCTTGGCAGGTCCACTGTGAATCCCTGGACCTCTCCACTCTCCTGCAAAGACAGACTCATCAGGAAAGAGGTGTAGAGGGAGCACGATGGGCCAAGAGCACCGGGGCAGGCTTTGCAGGACCCACCTCTCTCAGGGAAGCGAAGGTGAGGGGCTGGGGAGCCCGGCTGGGCTGCACCCTCAGCACGGTGGCCTGCACAGTGGCCTCCCCAAAGGTCTGGTTCTGCCCTTCCAGCTCCACCTTGGCCAGCATCCTCTCCAGCTCCCTGAGTGTGCTGCTGGGGAAGGGGCACAGTGAGCAGGGTGCAGCGGGGCTGCATTGGCAGGGATGGGCTGAGCCGGACTCACCGCCGGAGCCTCTGCTGTTCCCTGCGCCCCGGGGCTGCTGCCAGGGGCTGGGCCATGAGGCTGTCCAGGGCACTGAGCTGCTGCTCCACGTCCTGCTCCCACATGGGCATGCTCAATGCAGAGGCTGGGGAAAGGAAATGCCATGAGATGCACGGGCACAATTGGCTTCCTGATGCCCCAGACTGACTGGCAGAGCCCTGGCGGGAGCAGAAAGCAGAGGGCTTCAAGGTGATCCCGAGCCAGGAAAGCTGATAGTGACCCCAACCCACAGGGCTTTCCTGCCACCCCACAACTCAGCTCCCACTGAGGCTATGGGCACCTCATGGTGGAGACTGGACCCTGAGAAACTCTTCAAAGACTTCAGTTTTGTGGGATTTGAGGCAGCATTTTGAAAATCTCCACCTTTAGGGGTGCTGGGTACCAGGCCTGTCTTTGGGCTGTTCAAGAAAACCTACATGCCCTTCAATCACCCTTCAGCTATCTTCATATCACCTTTCTAAACCACACTCTGGGAGACAACCAGTGCTCTGATGACAACAAGGGAACAGGCTGGGGATAAAACAACCCTTGAATTTCCTTCAAATAACATTAAACTGCATTTACCATTGAAGAAGTATTCATCTTTAGCATCCAGGGAGGTGTTCTTCCCACCCTTTATGATATAGGACACATTGAAGATGTCGGCTTTGGTTCTTTCAGTCTTCTGACTCTCCTGTCCCCAGGGGATGCTGCTGGCTGTGTCCCCACCCAGGGGGATGCTCTGCTTCCCATAGACCAGCTGCAGGCTCCTGTTGGACTCAAACCAGAAGATGCAGAAGCGGTACCTGCCCAAGGTGGGGGGCAGCCTGTACTTGTAGTAAGAGTCCCTCCTGCTTGGCAAAAAGGGCTTTTTAATGATCAGAGCCTGGGCCGTGTTCTCGATGGAGATGGCGGCAGGGCCGTGCTGGAAGATGGCAGAGCTCTCCTGGGTCTGGTTCCGGTCCCCACAGAAGCGAAAATCCTCCTCCCTGAGGCCACAGGCTGCCAGCCCTGCACACAGGCACACAGGGACAGCAGATCAGCTGTGGGACAGCCAGCCCTGCAAGCACCCCAGCCTGCAGCAGCTGTCACATGTGGCACGCCAGGCTCCCACCCCAGGCATCCCAACCCTGTCACTCCTGCAGGCTGAGGGACACCAGCCTGTCCCCAGTGTCACTGCCACACTGGCAGGGCCCTTTGGGCAGCAGGACCTCCTGTCCTTCAGGGACACCCTCTCCCGTGTGCCACCACCCACAGCAGCAGAGCTGTCCATCCCCAGGAGGGGTGGATGGATGGATGGATGGATGGATGGATGGATGGATGGATGGAGGCCACCTCCTCTCCTTGGAAAGGACACATTCTGCCCGAGAAACCCACCAGAGCACATCATCCTAGGAGATGTTTTACCTCTGTGGAAGCCTTGGTTGCACACATCTCATGGTGCCCCCAGCCAATGTTTTGGGGCTGCCAGTTACTCCCAATAGCCCAAATCCAGCTCAGCATCCCAAAGCAGGACAGTGTACCTTGGAGGAGGGAGAGAAGGAGCAGGAAGAGGACCTTCATCCTGGGCAGCTCTACCTTGGCCTGGCCTTCAAGGCGACAGCAGAGCCTGAAAGGGTACAAAGGAAAGGGGCTACATGAGTATTTGAGTATCCCCCATGTCATGAGGGCAGGGATGAGGTGGGACACAGCCAGTGTCACAGGCAGGCCCCTGTTGCCTCTGCCTCCAGAAGGAGCCGGGAGCACTGGGCACCCAAGCTGGCTGTGGGCTGGAAGGGTGGCAGAGGCTGGGAGCCCCTGAGCTCTCAGCATGGAGAGGGTGCCCCAGCACTCCAACCCAAGAGTGCACAGGAGGGGTCCCTCCCCTCTTCCGCTCTCAGCTCTACATCTCAGTGAACACCCTGACTTGTTATCAGAAGTGATAGGAACAGAAGGAAACTGTGGTTTCCTAATTCACCAGCCCTGAAATTATTTTCTTGGATGTTTTCAGCTCCTGCAGATTAGCTGAGGAGCTGGGCACGTTGCAAACCACTCCATCGTTGCAACCTGCAGAAAAAGGCTCTCCCAAGCACATCCTGGCACTGCCAGCACAGCAGCCATGGCTGCCCAAATCTGCTGCTCACAACCAGCTGGGCCACATCCTGCACAGCCCCTTTGCCCATCCCTTCATCTGCCACTCTGCTCCACCACCCTTTTGTTTATCTTAGCACGAGGAAGGGCTTCTGTGACCTCCACCCAGGCCAGCACTGAGCACCCTCAAGTGCTTCCACACCCCTGCACTCACCCAGCCACTGCCTTCACACTTTCAGCCTTTTTGTTTCACTTTCTGCCTGCCCCAGGCCACAAAGTGCACCCCCAGCTCTGCTGGGATGCACCAAGTGTCACCTCCTCCTCACCCTGCTGTCACTTCAGCCATGGCACACACCCTGCCAGGGTCTGTACCCTGCAGAAGCCCCCAGGGTGGGACAGCATTGATGAAGCTGTCAGAGCAGCTGGCCCAGCCCAACTCTTGTCAATGCCCAAAGTGAAGCCAGCACGCTTGGCCACTGCTGCACCCCACTGCGCTGCTCTCAAACAACCCCCCAAAACCTACCAAGAGGCCAAAACTGCTTTGTTTGTTGTGAGTTGGTGCTGGGGCACCAACCAGCATCACCTGAAAAGCCTTACAGCTCTCCCAGCTGCTCAAGGGTCATCAGATGCTCAATAACTCAGTAGCAGATTTCTCCCACCAGCACAGGCTTTTCTGGAAGTTTCTCTAGCCAGCACAGATCCTGCACGGGTGTACAGCCCACTCCACATCCTTTCCCCCTGTTTCTTGTGGCAATTTATCATCAGCAGATGGGGGCTTTGGGTTGTTAATTAACCTGCTGCCGTGGCTGTAGCTAAGTGACACTAATGAGGTGTCCCAGTGTGAGCTGGGAGGGTTTGGCACAGGCAGGACTTGGCAGCAGTGAATGGATTTGGATGGGGCTGGCACCCCAGTGCCTTGCCACACACTGAGGAATCTCACCTATACACCCAAAAACCACTGACCTGGGGTGGCAAAATGCTGTGGGTGATGGAAAACACCTGGAGCACTTAAAAGCAACGGAGCTTCAACCGTGTTGAGGCAGCACAGAGCTGGCAGGGCAATAAAGCATCGCCTCTGGGTGGGGAATGAGGAATCCTAATGAGGCCTCAGCCCAGCCCACTGTGCTGACATCCTTAAGGTTTAATTGGGAAGGTTGGAGGAGAGGATCAGCCCCTTTCAGTGTTACTCAGCTGGGACCAGAAATCCCTGTGGGAAGCAGGGTGGGGGAGCCGGTATTTCGGTATTTCCCCTCCGAGCCCTGTGTGCTCCTGCTGGCCCGAGCCTGATTGCTGCTTCCTGAGCTGAACAATAGCGAGAGAAAATCCCCTGAAAAGGGTTTCACTGTGAGAAACCTGGCCCTCCATCCACACTGGCAGCAGGCACAGCAAAGGGAGCAGGATGTGCTGGGTTCTCATCAGTTCTGAATCCACCTCGTCATCTTCCCATGCCCGGATGGCAGAGGGGGAAAATACCTGGCTTGGCCTCAAAATCAACCAGATCACGTACAAAGAGGTGGCAGACACTCAGCCAGGGCTGCAGAGCTTGGAGCAGGCTGCCTTATCAGCAGAGAGGGAGGCTTATGCCTGGGCACCAGTTCTTATCCTCCCATCACCATTAAGGTACTGGCCTTGGGAAGGAAAGCCAAAGCATTATACTGAGGTCTCTAAACCTCAGGTGAATGGAGGGCAGGGGGAAAAAGACTTAAAACCCCACAAACAAAAGGTGTTTACTACCACCTTACTGCCTTCTGGGTGACTTGGCAGCAGGCATTTAAGCTTTTGGAGGCAGCACGTGGCTTTTGGATGTGACGTTTTTCCCAAGGAGAAGGGAAGATGTTACTCCCAGCTCCGGTGACTCAAACAAACACAGGATGCAGGGAGATCCAGGAGCTTTTATCTGTTTTCTTCCCAGCTCTGTTGGGAAAGTGACGCTCTGTTCCTCGAGGTGTGAGTGCGTCTGAAGCTCGTCACCACAGTTGTTACTCAGACAGCACTCAGCAGCATGATGAGGAAACTGTGGCAAGCCAGGACTCCTGGAGAAGCAAAACAGCTTTGCACAACCAGCCCCTCATCGTAGGGACCATAACAATGTGCCCTGGTTCTGGAGCTGTCCAGGATGTGAGGACCCCATGGGGGTCCCCCTGCAAAGGATGCCCCAGTGTCAGTGTCTGAGTGCTGCACAAAGTGCCCTTGTCCTTGGCCAATGGTGCATGCCCACAGGGCCAGCCTCACGTTATTCATGACATTGGCATGTGATTCCCAGCACCAGCGGGCTTGGCTAATGCCCAGGGAGTCCAGGGGCAGCTGCACTGTGCCAGCAACCTGGCACTGCCAAGCTGTGCCATGGGGTGCTTCAGCTTTTCCCGGGCCGTGGCACTGCACAGAGCACCCAGCACCTTCAGGATGAGCCTTGCCAGCAGGATGAAACCAGATCTGATGGTGATTCCCACGGGAACGGCACAGCTCCCTGCCAGATCTGCTCTTTGCCAGCCCCTGGCAGCCATCCCTCCCCACAAAGGCTGGCATCCCTCCCCACAAAGGCTGGCATCCCTCCCCACAAAGGTGGGGAGCACCAAGGGGAGGCTGGCACAGCCTGCCAGTGCCTGGGGCTCCTGGGACGGAGCGTTTGCTTAGAGCTGGGTCTTGACATTCAAAACGTTTTTAAAAATTTCCATTTCCTAAAAAACACCACAAACAGAAGTACCACAGTGAACTAACCCAGCACTTCCTCCAGTGCCAGGGCAACACAGCACCTGGCTCGGGGGCACACGAAGCCTTGTGGCTTCAGCAGCAGCCACAGACACTCTGCAAGGGACCGGGTGCACCTACACTGGGCTGGGGCTGATGTGACACGGCTACAACACAGTGCAGGGACATCTCTGGCCACAGGGCTACAGACAGTTGTCCCTGCCACACTCCCACCACACAGTCTTCTCTGAGAGCAGCCCCACTTCTCCTCCTGCACATCCCCCTTCCAAATCACTCCTTTGGGTTTCAAACGGCTCCCAAAACACCCTGTCCACTCCCTTGGGTTTCAAATGGCTCCAAAACACCCTGTGCACTCCTGGGTCTTCCCATGAGCAAGCTCCTCATGGCCTGCCTGTGCTGCAGGTGCCAGACGAGGAAGGTGCAGAGCAGTGCAGAGTAGCTCAGGACCACCCCAAATCAGGGTCCCAGGTATTTGGGATGGAAAGCAAGGTGCTGGAGCCTAGTGAGGGCAAAGCCTGCAGCACCCAAGGAGCGAGGTGACAGACTGTGGGCCTCCCAGATTGCTGCCAAGGCCCAGCTGTCGGGTGAGCTGATGGGAAAGGAGCTGGTGAGTCCCAGAGCTCCTGAAAAGCAGGCGCCAGCAGGCTGAGCCCAGCTGGTCCCGTGCAGACATTGGCATGCTGGGACTGACCCATCCTGCTGCCTGTGAGCCACAGAGCTCTGCCCCTGCACCCACGGTGCCACCGCAAGGTGCAGGGACGGCCAAGCCCGGGGATCCCCCTGCAGCCAACACGCAGTTGCTCCAAACCTGTTCCTCTGCAAATAGCAGCCCCCAGGCCGCAGGATTAAGAGCTGGACTGCAACCAAGTATGCAGCATTTTCAGGCCTCGGGTAATTCACGTGGGAGCTGTGAACCCAGCAAGGGACACGGCAAACCCCCCTGTGGCTGCAGTCCCGGGCTCAAAGGATTTGTCCCCTGCCCATCTCTGAAACACTCCCGGCTCCCTGCTGGTGTGGGAGCTTGTGGGGGTGGGGATGGGGGCCGGGGGGGTTACTGCAGCCCTCAGACCGTGAAATGAGCTTTGGCTGCCTTCCCTCCACAGCAGCCATTCGGACTTGCTGCCAGGAGGTTATTCCAGGAGACTTCATTTCAATTCTCCAGCTGCTCTCACTGAGCTTCTCTGGTCTCTCTGGAGGGGCAGCACAGACCGTGGGTAGAGACCACCCCGAGCACCCTACATCCCATATCCCGCAGAGACATGCCAGGACCGGCAGGAACAAACCGGGATGTTGCAGGAGGAATCCCCTCAAAAGGCATTTTAGGGAAGGGAGATCACCCTGTCGAGACATGCCGGCGATCCCATGGGAATGCTGCACCCTCCGCCGGGAGGGAGGGGAGGAAGGAATGAGGTGCGCTGGTGGTTCCCATGGAGTGGGAGCAATGGCCCCACACCGGCCGGGGCTTGGTGGAGCTCAGCTCTGCCGTGGCAGCAGCGCCGGTCCCGGGCAGCCCCGGGGGCTTTGCGGCCCCATGGCCCAGGAGCCCAGCCTGGAGTGCGAGCCCCACGGAGCCGGGATGGAGGTTCGTTTCGCAGATCACTGACTGGCACCACGGCCACCAGCAGCGTCCCTGCCCAGCCGCACGCATCACCCCCAGCGCTGCGCCCCGCACCCGGAGCGGGTGCCGCTCAGCCCCCATAGAGACCCCTCCGCTCCATCCATCCATCCGGGCTGCTCCCTGCCCAGCAAGCCGGGGCTCTGCCCGGTGCCACCGTCGGCGCGGATCCCCCCAGCCCCGGCTGGTGCCCACCCCGTTCACTCCCGCCCCGCCGCTCTGCCCGCGCCCGCAGCATCCCCTCGGCTCCCGGTACCGGCAAACGCTCCTCAGCGCGGCCTCTGGGATCCCCAGGGGCACCGGGCTCCGCGATCCTTCCCTGTCCCGGCTCAACCCCTCTCCGCTGCTTTCATACCTGGAGTCGGTGCGGGTTCGGCTCGCCGCGGCTCGGCACGCCTCGGCTCGGCACCGCCCGGCACCTCCCGGCTCCTCCCGGCTCCGGCAGCAGGGCAGGTACGGCGCGGGTCCGAGCCTCGCACAGCTCCGCCCGGCTCCGCTCCGCTCGGCCCGGCCCGGCCCGGCCCCGCTGCCCCGCGCACCTCCCGCCTCGGCCGCTCCGCGCGGTGCCCGGGAGCGCCGCCCCGCCCCGTTCCCCCGCGGCCGGTGACTCAGCGGGGCGGTACCGGCACCGCTCCCCCCGCACCGACCCCTCCGACACCCCCGGGATCGCCGCGGGGTCACCGCCGTCCGCCACGGCACCTCCTGCCCGCTTCTGCTCGGCCCGGTTCGGTTCAGCTCGGCGCGGCTCTCAGCGCCTCCAGCCCGGCTCGGCTCAGAGCGGGATCCCGGGACCGGCGCTGACCCCCCGAGATCGCTGCTCTCGGTCCCGGCACCTGCCCAGCGAGCCCCGGGCCGGCAGCACCGGGGGCTGCGTCCCCCCTGGGCCGGTACCGGTACCGGTACCGTGGGCTGGGGAGCCGGGCTGGGCACAGCCGGGCGTGCCGCGTCCCGGCGCCCTTCAGCTGCGGGCTGGCGGGCGTCCAGCGGCGGGGCCGGCAGGCTGCACGCCTGGCTGCCAACGGGATTAAAAAATAACAATTAATGGGAAAGCAGCCGGGACGGAGTGTCCCGGTGACCCCTGGAGCACGGTGCGAGGGAGGAAAGGAGCAGGGCAGGGAGCCCAGATCCAGAGCAGGGATACACAGCTCTCCCCTGGAGCAGGTGGGATGGGGTGTGGGGTGTGGAGCCTGGCCGCGACCACCCTCAGCACCCTCCCCAGGGCTGGAGATGGTGGAGATGGGCACCCGGGGCTGGAGATGGGCACCCGGGGGCTGGAGATGGTGGAGATGGGCACCCGGGGCTGGGGATGGTGGAGATGGGCACCCGGGGGCTGGAGATGGTGGAGATGGGCACCCGGGGCTGGGGATGGTGGAGATGGGCACCCGGGGCTGGGGATGTGGAGATGGGCACCCGGGGCTGGGGATGGTGGAGACGGGCACCCGGGGCTGGGGATGGTGGAGATGGGCACCCGGGGCTGGGGATGGTGGAGATGGGCACCCGGGGCTGGAAATGGTGGAGATGGCGCCCGGGGCTGCAGGCAGCGCTGTTGGAGCGGGTAAAGCCGCTCCTGCAGCGCCCGCACCCGGCCCTTTGTGTGTGCCCCGGGAACAGCCGGGCTGGAGAAAGCCCAGACGGGAGCAGGGCGGGGGGAGAGCTCCGGGAAGTGCCCTGGGTAAATAGTTGCTCTTGCAGATATTTTCAATGGCTCGAATGAGACTTTTCTGCAGGGGGAAGGGTGCAAACAAGTTCCCTCTGCAGCAGGGAAGGGGATGGACCTTGATCCATGGGATTGTGCCACCGCGGGTGCCATGGCTGCTTTGGGATCCCGCAGCAGGGCACATCCCGCGGTTTGCATGGTTGAATTCCCAGCTCCAAGCCTCAGTTTCCCCGGCTGCCACGGGACAAGGCTCCCATGGGAAGCAGCTCACATGGCCGGACCGTGGCTAAAGCGGCCGGGCCGTGGCTGACAGAGCTGCCTTTGAAGTCTGGCTGTCCCCACGCCTCGGGGAGCCGGGCGAGCTCTCAAACGCACGCTCACAGCAGCCAGAGCATCGCGGGGAGCCAAACCTCCCTCCCACCGCGGTCATCCCGACCGGCTCCTTGGGGAAACGCCATAAATCCACCGCCTGGGAATGGCCCTGCTAAAGCCAGGCTCTCCCGGAGAGGGGAATTGGGTGCAGACCCCTCGGAGCAGCGAGGAAAGGAGTTTTTGCTGCTGCTCGTGGAACAAAGAGTCTTTTGTCTGCATTCGATGTTATCAGAAGTTATTTTTAGGTCAACGCCTGCACTTGCTGGTGCTGTCGGGATTATCTCTGAGTCGACAGACCTTCAAAGACTCTGCCTGAGCACCAAGAGGGAGGAAATCCTTGTGTTGTCTCTTGGAAGGGACATTTGCCCTTGTACTCGGCCTGATAAGGGTTTATTGCTTCAGCTGGGGAATTCCTATGAAAGCCCTACAACTTCTTAAGAGTCCTAAGAGCTCCTAAATCCATTAAAGCGCCTAAATACGCTTAAAGTTCCTGAAAGTCCTAAAAGATCCTGAAAGCCCTGAAAGCTCCTAGAGCCATAAAATGTCCCAAAAACCCTACAACATCCTAAATGCCCTAAAACCCCATAAGCCCTAAAAGTTCCTGAATATCCTTGAAGTTCCTTAAACCCCAAAAATTACTAAAAGCCCAAAGAGTTTCTAAACCTCTTAAAAGTTCCTCAAAGCCCCAAAAGTTCCTAAAACCCCTTCAATTTCCTAAAAGCTCCAAAAGAACGGTAAGACTTCCAAAATCCTCTAAAAGCCCTGAAATCTTGCTAAAAGCTCCTCAAGGCTGCGGCGGCGGGCGGGAGGGAGGGAATGTGCCAGCAGATCACGGCGGCGGGGCGAGGGGATGGGCAGACTGCGGCAGGAGAGGGCACGTCGCACCGGGCTGGTGCCAAATGGGGGAGACAAGCGTGGGCAGGGGAGCCCTGGCGCCGTCTGCAGCAGAGGGATGTGCCAGCCCCACTGCCCAGCGGTGCCAGGGTGCCCAGACCCCTCCCCAAAACCTCTTGGGTGCTCCCAGCAAAATGCCACCCTGCCCAGCTCCGGTGGATGGAGGAGGATGAGGATGAGGAAGCAGAAAGGGGCTGGTGGGAGGGGATGCCCCTAAATCTCTCATCCGAATCTGGTGAGCAATGCCAGGACAGCCCTGGGGGTCTCTAGAGGAGTGCCTCAGCTGCCTTTGAGCGGCTGTGGGTGCTCCTGCTCCCCTCCTTGCTGCTGCTCCTCCTCCTCAGCCTTCCTCCTGGCAAAACATCCGGTGGGGAGGTGGGTCCGCCCCAACCCGCGTCGGGATTTCTCCTTCAACGAAAACAGCGACACGACAGGTGCCAAGGCAGTAAAACCCGAACCTGTAGGCACAGCAATAAATCGGATGGTTTGTTTAGGCTCGGCTTTGTAAATAAACCCCCGGTGATGTCAGGGAAGTCTGGGGGAAATTGGTCCCTGCGGGTGTCTGCAGCAGCACCAGGTGAGGATGCTCCCGTGGGATGCAGTAACTGCGCTCATCAGCTCCCCAGCAGGCAAGTCCCAAAAGCAGATCCCAAAACGGAGCCAAGGTCTGCTCCAAACCTTCCATTTCCCACGTGGATTCAGTGTTTTTCCTGGATGCCTGTTTCCCCAAAATCTGTAGCATTTGCTATAACTCCACAGTTTTGCTCCTGGATGCAAGTCTGGCTCTGAAGGCACCGTGGTGCCACCAGCCCTCCTCTCCTGGGGAGGAAAGGATGGCACAGCCCCTCCAGCAGCCCAGCCCTGGCTCCTGCCAGGCGAGGTGCCCAGAAAGGTAAATGGTGCCGTTATAGGGGCCAGCCCCCTCCCGCCATGCCCGGGTGCTGGATGGAGCCAGCCCTGGCACTGTGGCACTGGGGAGGGTGTGGGGAGCTCGATCCCAACCCCTGCTCCCCGGGGAGTGCTTCAGCCTGCTCCTGGTGTGCCAGGCTGGGGAAAGGCAGGGTGAGCCCTGGGCACCAGCAGCGGGCTCAGCTACCCAAGAACCAGCATTCCCACCAGTCCTGAGAAGGTTTATCTCCCTGGAGACCTCCCAGCGATGCTGAGCTCCTGTGACCGTGTTCACAGGGGTCTGAGGATGAGGGAAGAGACGAGGATCTGACTCCATGTTTCAGAAGGCTTGATTTATTATTTTATAATATATATTACATTAAAATTATACTAAAAGAATAGAAGAAAGGATTTAATCAGAAGGCTGGCTAAGAATAGAATAGGAAAGAATGATAACAAAGGCTCTGTCTCAGACTCTCTGCTCGAGCTAGCTGGGCTGTGATTGGCCATTAATTAGAAACATTTACCATGGACTAATCACAGATCCACCTGTTGCATTCCACAGCAGCAGATAATCAATGTTTACATTTTGTTCTTGAGGCTTCTCAGCTTCTCAGGAGGAAAAATCCTAAGGAAAGGATTTTCCATAAAAGATGTCTGCAACATGTTCCCGCTGCCAGGAGGCAATCACAGAGTGATTGTTTTAAGCAAGGTGGATGTGTGGCAGCCAGAGTGACTCACAGCACAAACCCCCAGATCTGGAGATGGGGAGAAGGGCACGGAAAGGGCTGGGATGTGACTCTGCCGCGATGGGGCTCATGGGGGAAGGTCGGGCACTTGGCAGCTCACCAAGGCCGCGGGCTCTCAGTGAATAGCTGCAGTCCCGGCCGGGGCGGTGAGCAATGCACAGCTCACCCCGAGCGAGCGGGGCACCGCGGGGAGGGGGCGCAGAGCCCCGGCGGGCCGGGCCTTTGTCCGGCCGGGCCTTGGTCGGGGCCGGGCCTTGGTCGGGGCCGGGCCTTTGTCGGGCCGGGCCTTGGTCCGGGGGCCTTTGTCCGGGCCTGGCCTTTGTCGGGCCGGGCCTTTGTCCGAGGCGGCGGCACTGCCGGAACGCGGCGGCGCTGGCTGCCCTTTGTGCCTGGAACAAAGAACAGCAGCCAGAGGCTTCCTTCGCTGCCCAGAAGCGGGAAGGAGCCAGAAAGGGAAATGTCACTCGGCAGAGATGGGCAGCGTGTCCGGTGGGGCTCTGTCCCTGCCACCGGGCCAGGAACGGGCACAGCAGCTCGTGGCTCCTCCCTGGCTCACCCTGCGGGGACAGGCTGGGGGCTGTGGGGACCCTGATGTCGCCACAGGCGGATTTGCCGTGCTGCGATGCTGGTCTGCACTCCAGCAGGCAGAGTGGGATCTCCAGCTCCAAAACCTCAGCATCAGGAGAGGAAAAACCCCAATAAACATTTCCAGGTGATGTCTGGTTTATGCGGATGCACCACGGGCTCAGGACCGACTTGCCGCCCCCAACTGATGGATTTTGTCCCTGCAATTTATCCCGGCTATTTATTTCCACAGGCTGGATTGCTTAAACTCCTCCCGAAAGTGTTGGGTCACCTTGAGGAGCTCTGCTGGGCTCTGCCTTCCTCAGTGAGAGCGGGAGGAAAGGCGAGTATCGGCTCACTTACTCATCCTCTCCTCCACCCAAACTCGTCTGCTCGGTGCAGACAAAGCCCTGCTCACCCGCCGCCCCAGGGTTGCAGGTGGCCTCCACCCCTGCGCTGGATTTGGGGTGAGAGGGAGGGCTTCTGGTGTGATGCTGTCCTGGGTGAAAACCCAGGCTCGGGGTGGTTTGGGGATGCCCCAGCCGTACAGCCGCTCCTGGCAGGCTGCAGCCGTGCTGGCACCGAGCGGATCTGGGGGATGTAACCGGAGATCTGCCGCTTGTGAGATGCGCAGCGGCAGCTCCTCAAGGGGGCTCAGAGGTCCCCTCCCGTTTGTCGGGGGACACTTCGGCACC